CCCCCCCCCCCAATCGCCTCCAACGTCCCGCCTCTCTCTTTCCTTACCCTCCATACCAAATAGGAAACTATCTACTAAAGCAGGCCAAGCAAGGGATTTTCAAGCTCATGAGGTCTCTGATGATTGAGAGGAAGGAAGGAGCAGATCTGGCGTAGTCTCCCCCCTCAAGCGTTCCATTCACAGGCCAGTACGTGACCTGGATGTCCAAGGCCACACATATAATGTGATGCAGTGGAATATATTAATTTAGCAGGAGCAGGCCCAAGAGAAGATGTGAGGCGAAGGACGGTCACTCCCCTGGAATCAGGGCATTCAGTGTGGCCCAACAATCACCTCTCTGAACTCATGTACATAAATGGGACGCTGGACCCAATTTTCAGCAAGTGAAGCTCCCCTCTAATAGACCGGAGCCAGCATGAAGTGGGAAGGCCACACCCAGGAGGCTGCTCGTATCACCTCCTGGGGGCGGATCCTTGACGATGGTTTCTTTTTGCGGTAAGTACGTTCATGTCGCCTTGGAGTATCGAATGGGCAAAAAAAACACGCGTCGGCAAAGAAAACTGCGCCGAGTTCGAAAAGGCAACGGAAGTACCAACGGCCGTGGTGTCAAACCGGGTGTCATATTTACAGGGGTCGGCCGTGGTGTCAGAGGGGGAAAAAAAGAAGAAAAAAGCCCAACGGATACTCTTGGACAGCAATCGCTCATTTTGAGTGGGCGCGTGGTTTCTTTGCCCGCACAAGTTTTTTTTGCCTTTGGTGTTTCGAAACATGCCGCGTCCACCGTTTCCCCCCCCCCCCCCCAAAGACTGCAGCAACCTGTTTCTATTGCAAAACTAAGGCCCCTCCACAGCAGTATTTCTTTCTGTCTCTCGTTTGGGGGGACCTTGCCTGGGCTTTTCCTCATCAGAAAGTCATCACAGAACCAGCAGACATCCGACTCAGCCCATGTGGCTGAATGATACATCCATGTAACTGTTGAAAAACAGATGAGAGTTCAAGTTCTGACGGAATTAGATAAACCAATAATTGTGAATCAACAAACAGACAGTAATGGTCATGCTTAGCGGTTACTGATCAGTCTGATCGCACCGTGTTGAGACCATCATCAGAGTCGAAGGAAAGGATGATGCCAGGACCATCCCTGCTCAAAGCAGTGATTTGATGGATGCATTGCATACCCATTTGACTTATCTGTTTCTGGATGTGTGTGACCATGATGCCAGGCACCTCACTCTCACTCGTAAAGAAAGGAGAGCCAAGGTACGGAAGAAAGGACAAAGAAGCAGACAAAGATGATGAAGATGGAGGTGATGTGATGAGCTGAGATCTGTTCCGCAGAATCCGCACCTGTTTCTGCGCCAACTAAGTGATGTGCGATGGCGAGGCGATGGCGAGGCCTGCCTGCCCTCCCGGGACACATTACCAGGTTGCCCGATTTTTTGGTAATTTTTGGAAGGTTTGTACTACATCACGACAAGTTGCGAACGGGGAAGAACATTCACGCAAGTTGTACTCAGGGTATTTTTCCGTCCCACTTGAGTCACAGTTGAGTGGCCGAAAATAGTGGAAACATGCCACATGATACGGCGTCTATTCTGTGCATATCGGAACCACTTCAAGTTGTTCAATCCTCTTTTTTTTTTTTTTTTTTTTTTTTAAACTATCTTGGAAGCAGCTTGAGGTGCTGGTAGGAACAGTCACCTCAAGCTGGACTGGTGTAGGCTCCATCTATTGGTGGGGAGCAGCACCTGCTGGGAATAGGGCCCAGCGTCCCTTTTTTAACAATTGTGAGAAATCACAGATCACAGATATTGTGCATTGGTATCATTGTGGTCAAGTTGTTCAATCCTCTTAGAATGGCATTAATCTTGCAGTTAGTTTCACTTTTTGGGAGCCAACGGAGGGAGGATAGGGATGGTGGAATGGAAAGAGGAAAAAAAGGAATCAGGGGAGGACCAGAGGGAGAATGGAGATTGTATGAGACTACCGACTGATATTCCATGAATTATGGACCAAAATTGATACGGCTATCCCATTGAAACCCGCTGAATAATTCCCCGATCTCTTCCCCTCCCCATCAAACTGTCTAGAAGGAATGCAGTGGTACGGGAAGGATGGATGAAATCAAGAGAGAGAAAGGAGGGTTGAGGCAGGGGGCTAGGGTCTAGGACTTATCCCCAGGCTAGCGGAGTCTATCCCTCACCCACCCACCCAGCCCACTTTCATGGCAAAGGAATCTCAGCACTGGTTTGCCAGGTTAGACTTGGCGCCACAAGGAAAGGTGAAGAGGTGCGGGGGCAGTCGACGGTGGGAACGGGTGGCTAGAGGAAGGAAGGAAAGAAGAACATACCCTAGAGTCGTTGACTTTCCTAGCATCACCTTCAAGACCTATCTCAGCAATAGCGTCCCAGACAGTAGGTACATGTGATCATTGCTGTGTAATGGGTGTATCCAATAGGACGCTGGACCTGATTTCCAGCAGGCGAATCTCCATACCAAATTTTGGAGCAACCCCACAGGCAAGGCCTCAATCCTAGTGGTTCTCTTACCGCCATCAGGATAGTGCGCTTGCAATGCGGTTTAAAAAAAAAAAAAAAAAAAAAAAAAGGTTCGCTTTGTGGAAAGTGCGTATATCGAAAACATGGGTGTGGCCCAATGATTCCATTTGAGGAAACTAAAAAAAAAGAAAAAAAAAAAAAAGAAAAAGATGTACTAACTCAAGGGTGATACCCGTACGGCCCAGGATTTCCCGGCCATTTTTTAGGGGTACATAATTTCATTAAAACATGGATAAGAGTACCACCGCTAGGCTCAAGCCTAGACGGTCGTAACAAGCGCTCTCCAAACCGTGGGAGATGGTCGCCCACCACACGGCTCTTCAACTCAAGTTGCCTTATTATTATAAAAACAAGTGGACCCGCCAGGGGCGGAGAGAACACGAGGGGAACACACCATGGTAACCGCCCGGACGCCCGGACCGGGTTCCAGACACTGGCAGACAGTCCGGTGTCCGGTGTCTGGTGTCCGGTGTCCAGTCCCCATGTCTGGATGGAGGCCCCTGGGGAAAAAAATAAATAAAAAAAATGGGGCGGCCCAGGACGTTTATTGGGTCCTAGGCGCCCCTCGAAAAATAACGGAGTGATTTTAAGTGTCCTTTCACCCCACCGGACATGGCCTAGAGGTCCAGACACAAC